AGAATCACATTAATACATGAAAAGTATTAATACATGAAAAGTCTAGATATTTGCTTTTAACAATGTACAGTACCTCTAATTAGTGGCTCTAAGTCCCTTTGGAAAAGTATTAGAAGATTTATCATGTGTATTTGGAGTGGTTGTATAGGGACCTGTTCTCCCCTTCAATCAAGGGGCTCTGTCTGGGTCTGTGAACTGACCTGGGTCTGGAGACTGGTGAGAGACTATAGTTTTCCACCAGTCAGTTTTCTGCCAACCACACCTAGAGTTTTTTCTCTTATACAAATCAAACAGTACTGTGGTAGGCTGCTTACCTATTTTTACCTAGGGGCACTAGTAGTGGATTATCTACTGCCAAAGATCTCTATAAGCCAAGACATTCTGATTCTCAGTATTTTCTGGCTGCCCTTTTCAGGTAATGTGCCCACCTTCTCTTGGATGGCTAATTGTGGCTACTTGGGCTGTGTTACCTTGGGATCCTATCATCTCCATTTAAAACCTGGGAGTTCTAAATGACCACATCCCCCATGGTCATACCTGGCTTACAAGAAGGAGTAACCGCAGAGTTTTATATGGATGTAGGGGTGTAGTTACTCCTTTTACTAATGTAATTTTCTTTGCCTTCTGAGCCCGCTTGTGAGGCACAGTTGAGGAGTGAGGGTGCATGTATTTAGTTCTCACATGATAAGTCTAATCCAACATTTCTCACTTCCCAAATCATTGAACTCCATATCAATGCCGGGGAAGCTCCAGCATCTCAATTGTTAAATCCAACTTTTCAGTGCACCAACCAGATAAGCTATTATAGTCATTTCTAGTTACATAAACTAATGTATTAAATCTGGAATCTCTATTAAGTGCATCCATATCAGTGAATTTGGCCTGATATAGTGGGGTTTTTTTGTTTGTTTGTTTTGAGACAGAGTCTTGCTCTGCAGCCCCAGCTACAGTGCAGTGGTGTCATCATAGCTCACTGCAACCTCAAACTCCTGGGCTCAAGCGATCTTTCTGTCTCAGCCTCCCAAGTAGCTGGAACTATAGCACGTACCACCCACACCTGTCCAATTTTTCTATGTTTTGTAAGGATGGGGTCTTGCTCTTGCTCAGGCCGGTCTCGAACTCCTGAGCTGAAGAGATCCTCCCACCTCGGCCTCCAGAGTGCTAGGATTACAGGTGTGAGCCACCACGCCTGGCCTGATGTAGTGTTATGTTTCACCTTCTTTGGTAAAATACTTTTAGAATCTACTCTCATACATGCTCCTCAGGTTTCTTTTGGGCATGTAGGCTATTTCTCCCTGGGTTACAGTGTGTACTTGTCCTCTTGGAGCATGCTGAGATTTGACCCTAGGTATGGGTCTAGTGGCAACAGGAACTGGTTGTGGCAGGTCTTCAGGAGAATTAGCATCCCCCTTCAAGGCATCTGCTCATCTAAAATTATCAGAGAGTTTTCAAGCTCAGGAAGGCTAGTCTTCTCAGACATTGGAAAACAAGCTAATTCCACTGGTATAGGAGGTTCACAATTATTTGGGGGATGAAGGAGAGCTGTCCAAAATTGTTAATTTCATCATCAACCAGATGTCTTTGTTCTAAGTTTCAGGATCCCGTTCTTTGCTAGTCAAGGTCCTAACTTTCAGATAAGAAACTTGGTGAGAATGAACTAAACTGTCATTGCAACCTACACAATTACATTTTTTTTTTTTTGGCTTAATTTTCAGCAGTATCAGCCCTGCACCTAAAAGAAGTTCGGCATCTAAAAGAGATTCTTTTAATGGTGTCATGGAAGTTCTCTGGTTATCAGACTGTGATTTAAGCTGAGAGTTAATGGACTTGAGCTTGTCATTTTCTCTTTTAAATGCTTGTGTACTTAAAAGGATCTGTCTTACACTACTGTCCCTACAGTCGTTATTACTGCATAACACTCAAATACAGCAGCCCACTTAAGCTTCCAAGGCATGTGCTTGAGTTGGCACTTCATCACAATTAGCCACAGGCAATAGCTTGATTAATTTTATGAAGTTACTGTATGCCTTAGATTACTAGCATCCCATTTCCTTGGCAAGGAGCTTACCTCTGCCTTTAATCCCAAGGATATGAATAATCTCCGGATTTCTTTCCTAGTTTATCTCCTGGGACCAGTTCTTTATCTGGGTTCATTCAGGAGCCAGAAATGACATAGTCATTTGAGTCAGTAAAAGTTATTATAAATGATAATAACTGTGAGAGAGGAATAACTATAAATATGTAAAGATAACTGTAAAGGGTATCCTAGAGATTATGGAGTTTTTTAATTGAGAAGAATCTTGCTCTGTTCACCAGGCCTAGAGTGCTGGGGCATCAGCCTAGCTCATAGCAACCTCAAACTCCTGGGCTCAAGGGATCCTGCTGCCTCAGCCTCCCGAGGAGCTAGGACTATAGGCATGCACCACCACACCCGGCTAATTTTTCTGTTTTTAGTAGAGATGGGGTCTTACTCTTGTTCATTGTGGTCTCAGACTCCTGACCTCAAGCGATCCTCCCACGTCAGCCTCTCAGAGTGCTAGGATTACAGGCGTGAGCCACTGCACCCAGCCGATATTTTTCAAGGAAAAATAAACTTGGAAACGGTGAGGTCCCCTTCCTCTGATTGGAGTTCAGATCTTCTCTGAAATGGTGGGGTTACTTCCTGTTGAAATGCAGTGAAGTTCACTGCAAATTCTGGCCTTGGCCAGAGCTGGTAAGCAGTTGCTGGGCAGCAGGAATCAACACTGTGAGGTATAGTCATGTTGAATATGGTAGACAGTTGCACAGGAAGGGACAGTGCACTGCTGCCAGTATGAGATCTGGAGCATGCCAGTGTCCATGTTGGGAGTGCTGCATCAAGAAGGTAATCACCATTCCCAGTCTGGGGCACAAGATCAAAGAAGGACTATACACTCTTGGTGTTAGGCTGAGGCAGACCACCACTTAATTTCCTCATATGCACTCATCACTGATGGACCGTGCAGGAAGAGCAAAAAGAGTAAACCTCAACATACGAGAACCAGGAAGAGGAGCTCCCTTTCTCCTGCAATATCACTCCAGAGCACTGTACTGATAAAATTTAAGATACTTCATAATGTAAAAAAGAAACGATCATAGAGTCTAGTCCACTTTTACAGAGCAGATCCCGAAGGTTTAATTTGGAGCTGAGAAGCAGTACATTGATAATTGATGCAGAGACTTTCCTCATATGTTTGGTTTTTTGACTGTCTCCTTAAGAGAGGTAAGGCATTGAAAGCTGATTGGATGTTCTGTGTGTAGGGATAACATTTGTTTATTTTTTATGACTTGTTTTTTGTTGGTACTGATATTTCTAAGATATTTACTTTTTCCTGGAATTCGTGAATTTTACCTAAATGTGCTTAGACGTGTCATTTTTCCGTTAAATCTGTCAACAACTGGATGAGCTCTGTTAACTTTCAGATTTAAATCTTTTATTGATCAGGTGGATTTTTCTCTTAAAAATTATCAATTTACTTGCTCTTTCTTCCCTTTGTTCTTTTTTCTGCCTCTCAAATAACTATTAATGTTAGATCTAATAGATATATCTACCAATTCTTTTACTCCTTTATTCATGAATTCTGTGTTTTTGTTTTATGTGTTGAGATTCCCCCCCCCCCCAATTTCCATGTTATTAAATTTGTTCTCCTTAGTGATTTTTTTTTTTATTCATCCAGGGAATATTACTTTTTTGTCTTCTTCTTGGTTGCAGAATCTTTTAGGCATATTATTTTGCTTTGATTCCTTTAGGCTCTTTTTAATTCATGTAGTGAAGTCACATTACTAGAGTCCCTCCATTGGCACAAATTCACACGTAATAGGTTGTTGTGATCTTGTTGATTGAGTAGTACTTTCCTGTTTGGCCTTAGGAGTGGGAAGCAATTCAGTTCATCTGTTTGCCCCTGAAGTTCCTTTGGGACCAAAAATTTGCAGTAGGCTCTTCTAGGACCACACATATCCAGGCTTATAGCTTAAAAAAAGATTCGGGAATCTGTGAAGATGTCTCTTAGTGAAGGAACAGAAAATCCTAGTCCACTCCCTAGGCCTTTTTAAAGAATGCAAGTTCAATCCGTCATCATGCCAAAACTCCTCTGATGAAAACTTCTGCAAGATATAGTAATTCTAATCAGGTGAGGTGGCTTACTTCTCTAATCCTAGCTACTCTGGAGACTGAGGTGGGAGTATCACTTGAGGCTAGAAGTTCAAGACCCAGCCTAGGAGATATAGCAAGACCCCATCTCTACAAAAAAAAAAAAAAAGAAAAAAAAATTAGCTGGACATGGTGGTGTACGCCTGAAGTCCCAGCTACTCGGGAGGCTGATGCAGGAAGATTCCTTGTGCCCAGGAGTTCAAGACCAGCCTCTAAATAAATAAATAAATGATAAATAAATAATAAACAATAAAGTAATTATAGAGGCAAAATAATAAATAAATAAAATAATTTTAAAGGCAACTGAGAAACTGGTGAGAAATATTATAAAAACTTGACATTCGAGGACTGATAATTAAATTACTTCTTTTCTGTGCCATTTTTTTTTAAACATTGCTATTATAGTACTCAAATTTAAACCTGTTTGGGTTACAGGTTAAATTGAAAAGTATGTACACTTGTTGAAAATGGCTTTCTATTTCAAAAGCAGAATAATACAAAAGAAAAAACAAAACTAAACTTAGTGTCAGGTGAAAGTATAAAATATATTGGTCATGGGACATTCTATTTATTTTTCTTAAAAATGATGTTGAAATGATGCTGAAAGCTGCGGTTCCATTTCTAACTAAAGTGAGATGAAAATATGGCCTATCACGTGATGAAGGTCCACACTGTTGAAGCTTAAAAACAAATTTCTCTGAGTTTAGGGCAGTAATATAGTTGTGTAAAAGGCCAATGATAAGATAATAATTGGCCTGCAACTGCAGTTAATACAGAAGTAGGAATAAAAGAAATAACATTGTGTCTGTAAGATCAATCAGTTTGGGCTCAGGCCCGCTGCGGGCTCGGCCTGGGCCGGGGCGCGAGGAGGGGCGTGGGGGGCAGGAATGGGGGTGCCGGGGCGCGGGCCAGCTCCCCTGAAGTGGAGGTGGTGCGGGGCGCCGAGGGGGGCGCGGAGCTGCTGCCCTTTGCCCGGGACCGCGGGCCCTGCACCCTGGCCTGGATGGCGATGCGCAGCGCGCTGGCGTGCGCGGCAAACTCAACCTCGGAGCTGGTCAGCGTGGAGCAGACGCTGCTGGGGCCCCTCCAGCAGGAGCGTTCCTTTCCCATCCACCTGAAGGACAGTGTTGAATTTAGAAACATCTGCAGTCATTTGGCTCTACAGATTGAAGGACAGCAGTTTGACAGAGACTTGAATGCTGCCCACCAGTGTTTGAAGACAACAGTCAAGAAGCTGATTCAGTCACTTGCTAATCTCCCTTCAGATGCTCACGTGGTAGCCTGTGCTTCGATGAGACAGATTTTACAGAATCTCCCAGACATCTGAGTGTTAAAGACATCAGGATTAAAACCACAGCTAGTGCTGTTAAGAGAACTGGATACCTTCCCTTCCTAATTGAATCAGCAGACAATAGATGTTTTTATTTCCAAAAAGGAGACCAGTGGCATCCGTAGCTTTCAGGATTATCGCATGTTAGTGAAAATTTTTTAAAGCAGTTAATTCACGTTTTTTAGTATGTTGGCTTATTTGCTGACTTTTTGATTGAAATATATTCTACTTTGTGTAACTTATTTGATTATATATGTATATATTTATCAATTCATAGTATTAGTTTTGGTTGAATGATACCTTAATCTATATTCATGTTAATGTAGGCCTATAAGGTTTAAAATGGCTATTTATATGGTTAAAGCTTCATGGTTCTTAAAATTATCTTGAATAAATGGGCTATTTGATAAAAAAAAAAAAAGATCAATCAGTTTGTCTCCATAAGCCCCTAGTTACATTTTAAAAATATAAAGCAATAAAAACAAAATAAAATAAAGCAGGCTTTGAACAGCTCTGAAAATCAAGAATGTTTTCATTTATACCTGAAAATAAAATAGCCTGGTCTCATGGATTAATAAATTTCTTTCTAACTCTTTGTATCTGCATTCACAGAATATATGTGTATGATATTGCTAAAAGCTATGTTGAAAAAAATTACCTAAATATTTATTATATAATGATTGTGAGTTTGGAAAAGGAAGGGTCGTTCACTTGATTCCTGATCAACGTCTTGAGTTTACAAAGTACTGTAATGTACATTATCTTTGGCATCTGCATGTCTTTCTCCAAAGCAAATGAATCTACTCTTGAGCAGCAGTATAGAATACTAATTCTCTATGCCCTTGTCTGTTTAATAACCAAGGTCCTATCAAATGCCTTCCTGAGAACATATATTTACCTAATAGAGTTTGAAGAATATGGACTCAATGTACTGCATCCATATTCTTTACTCTCAATATCCAGAATGAATTAATTGATCTTTTCAGTTTACCTTATAAGGAGCTTTGAGACAGATTTAAAACTCATTTTTAACTACATTGACTGTTCTGCTCATGTTTGTATTTCCTCTTCGTGATATTGACAACTTTTTATTTTCTCTTTATATTTCTTTCTCAGTTTAAAATGTTAGTTTTCTAACTGCTTCATATTCCTTATTGTGTAAACCAGAATATTAATCTAGTACAACATGATAAAAACATGATTTTAGCAAATGTCTTAATTTTTGTTATTTGACCGTAATTTATGATTCAGATTCTGCTTATTATGGCCTTCTTGTTGAGGATCTGCGGCTGAGCTCTCAAGAGATTTTCTTTGTTGTAAACTCTTAGAATTAAACTGTTTGGAATTAATTGAGGGCATGGAAGCCTATCAGTGTCACAGTTTGAATTTTTCCATACCCTTTTTAATGCTTTTGTGTGTGTGCGTGTGTTTGTGTATGTGAGATTGATTTAATAGTAGAATCATACACATTTCCTTTTTTTATTTAATGTTATAAACAACTTCATTATTGCTAACATACAGATTCAATTCATTTGTATTACTTAGTTAAATTTCATTATAAAGTATGATTTAGTGAAACATTTGTTCATAAATATTTAAATTATTTATGGGCTTTTTTTTTTTTTGTCCCAGTACTGGAATAAATAATAGTACAATATCCATGTAAGTAAGTATTTTCTATATGTGGGAGGAAGACTGTATGTAAATATTGTTAGCCTGAAGGGCAGATTTGTCAGAGATGACTGGCTATTTACCAAAAATTAATTTTTCCGTATTCATAGTGAAGAAAGTTCAAGGAGGCTACTAGCAAACGGACTCCATTTCTCCACTCCTTTATATCTGGATATGGCTAATTAAGAAGTTCTTGCCAATAAAATAGTAACTGAAGAGATAAGCATCACTTCCAAACCTGACATACAAAAATTTACCCTGAAATTTTTCTTTATGGTTTTCTCTTCCATTAACTATTTATTTACCTTGGAAGGCACTTATGAGGATGTTAGACTCTGTTAGCCTAGGTCCCAGAATGATTTTTGTCTGTAATTTGTGATTCCGATGTTCTAAAGCTATGGGCTTCTGTTTGAGGGTCTGTGGCTGTGTTATCAGAAATGTTCTTTCTGGTGTCTTGGAATTATACTGCATAATTTTCGTTACCTTCCAAATAAGGACAATCAGCACTGGGATATTATGTTTATTAAAGTAGATCATTGATTTAAACCTCTCTTTTATAGGTATTTAAGCTATAACATAGCTATAAATTAGAAATGTTTAAAGCTATATGTTTTCCTGTAAACATTGCTTTAGCTGCATTCTACAGATTTTGATATGTTATGTTTTCATTATATTCAGTTCAAAATAGTTTCTAATTACCAAGCCTTTGGGGGCATTTTAGATATATTTTTGTTCTTGATTTCTGATTTAAATCTGTTATGGCCAGGGAACATGCTCTGTATTATTTCAGTCCTTAAAAACTTACAGAAGTTTCATTTATGGTCTATTTCAGTAAATATTATATGTATTTAAAAAGAATGTGTGTTCTGTAATGGATGGTATTATTTTTTATACATGTTGATAAGACATTTATTAGTACTGTTCAAATTTTCCATATATGTATTTTTTTTGTCTGTTTGCTGCTTCTATCAGTTACTAAGAGATGTGTTAAAAATTTCAGTCATCATTACGAATTTGCATATTTCTTTTAGTTCAATTTTTGCTTTATATATTTTAAGACTTTTGTTATTTGGTGTGTAAATTTAGTGTTGTTATAGCTTCCTGATGAATTTACCCTTTTATCCTTATAAAATATCTCTTTGTGTTTGGTAATATTCCTTGTCTTGATTTCTACTTTGTTCGATATGACTGTAACCATAACCAATTTCTTATGGTTAATGTTTGCATGAAAATATATTTTTTCATCCTTTCATTGATGCCTATCTGTGCTCTTACAGTAAAAGTGTATCTCTCACAAATATCATGTGATTGGGCTTTTTATCCAGTTTGGACAATCTTTCTTTTTCCAGAGGAGTGCTTAGTCCACTTGCTTGATTTTGCTTTTATTTTAAGTTCTAGTTTTTTAGTCTGAAAAGTTTTATTTTCCCTTTATATGAAAGAGTTTTTTGGTTTTTTGTTTGGGTTTTTTTTGTTTGTTTGTTTTGACCAAATAAAAATATCTTGATATGCCGTGTGCGTTGGTTTATGCCTGTAATCCCAGCACTTTTGGAGGCCAAGGTGGGAGGATTGTTTGACGCCAGCAGTTTGAGACCAGACTGGACAATACAGCAAGACTCTTTCATTACAAAGAAATTTTTTAAAAATTAGCCTGGTGTGGTGGTGCATACCTGTAGTCCTAGCTATTTGGGAGGCTGAGGTGGAAGGATCACTTGAGCCTAGAAGTTTGAAGTTGCAGTCCAGTGAGCTATGGTTGCACCACTGCACTCTAGCTTGGGTGACAGAGTGAGACCTCATTTCTAAAAAAGAAAAAATTCTGGATGAATGGTGTTTTTTCTTTCGTTACTTAAATATGCAATTCCTTTTATCCATGGGCTTGTACTGTTTTTGACATGAAGTGTGCTATCATTTTATCCTTTGTTCCCCTATGTGTACCATCTGGCTGCTTAAAATATTTTTCTGACTTGATTAGGGTCTGCCTTATGTGGTTTTCTTTCTTTCTTCTTTTAAAAATCCTTACCCTAGCCATGACTCCGTGTATTATGACAGGCTGCATTATCTACTCACCTAGGTCCATACTTGGCAATGCTTCCAACAGTCACCAGGCTTTGCCAACCCAAGAAAAGGTTTTCTCTCTCTGGAATTTAGTTCTTTAGATTTTTGTCTTCACATCTCTCTGAGAGCTTTTAAAAGGTATAACTTTTTATTGTAAATTAACCAATTATATCTGTATCATTTATTAACCCATCCTTTTCCCTCTAAAATTGAAATGTCTCCTTTGTCATAGTTTAAGTTCTATATATATATCTGAATCTACTTCTGTACTTTGTTCTTTTATTTGTTTTCTTTCCTTTTTTTTTTTTTTTTTTGAACAGACAGACTCTCGCTCTGTCACCTTGGCTGAAGTGCAATGCTATGATCACAGCTCACTGCAACCTTGAACTACTGGGCTCGAGCGATCCTCCTGTCTCAGCCTTGCAAGTAGCTAGGATTACAGGCTCACACCACCACGCCTGGCTTTTTAAATTTTTTGTAGAAAGAGGGTGTTGCTATGTTGCCCATGCTGGTCTCAAACTCCTGGTCTTAGGTGATCCTCCTTAGCCACCCAAAGTGCTGGGATTAAACCACTGTGCCTGGCCTGTTATTTCTAATATATTTTGTTTTTCAGTTCCTTTGTGATAAGTTTAGTATTTCTAATGCAAGTTCCTGTGCATTAGTTTGACTCAGTATTTTGGGCTCTTTCTATATATAACTGGTTGGAGTATAAACTGATGGTGTTACTTGGGAATGAAAGAAAATTTTGGTCACCATGTCTAGAGTATGTTCACAGTGCTGGGCCCTAGATAAAAGTGGATAAATGGCTTCTTCCTCAACTTCGTGCCACACTTTATTACCTAGGTTGCAGAGCATTTCTGTATGTGCCCTGAAGCTAAAAGTTACTTTTGACTTGCTCTGTTCGCTTCTAGTCCTCACCATTATCCTGAGCTTGTAGGGCCTGACACATTTTCAGCAGAGCTGAACCTCGAACAAATATCTTGGCATTCTTTCTTTTTCACCCTCTTTTACCACTGTAATCTTTCTAATTCTCTGTTTACTTTAAAAACAAAACCTCCCAGACACTAGTGTGATGAGACAGGGAAATAGTATTATGTACAAAAAATCCTCTCTCTTGCTTTTAGAAGAAGGGAAAGTGGTTCTCCTCAATAAAAGATTATTAAAGAAGGTGTATGCCCAAACCAGAATGGATTAAAATGAAAGAATTGAGAATACTTAGGATTGGTGAGAGTGTGGAGCACCTGGAAATCTCATACACTGCTGGTGGAAGTATTAATATAATTTACTATACTTTTTTGGGGAAATTGTTTGACATTGTCTACTGATCCTTGACATATGTGTATACTGTGTTAACAAGTCTGCTGTTGGATATAGAAAACAGAAAAGAGTGTTTATATCCATCAGAAGGTGTGTACAGTTATGTTTATGATAGCCCTAGACTGGAAACAATACTCATGTCCATCAACAATAAAATGAGTAATAAATTGTGGTATAGTCATACAATGAAATACTACCCATCAGTTCAAAAAGGGAATTACTAATACACATAACAATGTGGCCAAATCTTACTGATACAACTTTCCTTGAAAGAAGTCAAACACAAGAGATAGCACCATTTATATGATTTTCAAAAACATGTCAAACTAATTTATGGTAACAAGCATTGGAATAATACCGTTTGTGCTAGGGATGGTAACTGACTAGAAAGGAGCATGTTTCAGTTCTGGAAATGTTTTATGTCTTCATCTTGGTTATGGTTACATGGGTGTATATATTTGTGAAAATTAAGGTATAACTGAAGATTTATGCATTTTAATATCAATACACATAATTTAAAAAAAATTATATTTTTATACATTTCCTTGGATCCCTACCCACAAAAATCTCAATCCTGCCTACTGGACTGCTAACTAGAATCACATTGAATTTGCCTCACGAGTTGAGAAAACTTAGACTTTGATACTGTACTCTTTCTTTTTTTTTTTGTAATTCAGAATTTGATGCTTATTGGGGTCATTTGTTTTTATATCCTGTAAGTTTTTATAATTTTCCTTATTAAGAATTCTGTTGAATTTATTCTTAGGTATTTTTAGTTTTGAACAGGCTACTCATCGATGCATTTATGTTTCCTAGTTATTACAGTATTAAAAAGTTATTTTGTACATTTATCTTTTGTCAGCCACCTTGTCAAATATTTCTTTTATTAATCTTTTGAATCACTTTAATAGAGACTGTTAGGTTTTCTTATCTGTAGGAATGGAAAAATGTCTTTACTAATATTTTCCTAGTTTTTGCATTAACTGAAAACTTTAAACCTATGTTAAATGGTTAGAGGGTTATCCTTGCCTTGTTCTTTGAAGTTGAAATGCCTTAAGTGTTTCAACACCAAATATATTTTAGTCTTTGTCTTTATCTTTTTTATGTAGATTCCATCTAACCCTAGTTTTCCTAGAAATGTTTTATTGGGATTGGCAGTAGAATTATATCAGATACCTTTTTGACATGTAGTAATATAATCATTTTATTTTTCTCTTTTGTTGATAAATTCAGGTATTTGATTTCCTAATATCGAGCTATTCTTGCATTCCTGAAATATGCATTTTGTTGTATATGATATATGCTCTTTTTATGAACTACTAATGGATTAGGTTTTTTGATAGAAAGTTTATTTGTATGTGTAAGTGAAGTTTGAATATTATTATCTATACTTGCTTAATAATTATCGGACTTCATGGAATTGGAAAGGTAAGGTTTGCATTATGCTGTATTGTGAACAAATCGCTGAAACCTAGTAACTTACCTTTTATTAGCTTTTAAAAGTGGGAGAATCTCTACTTTTATTAGGGTACAGAAAAATAACTTCAGGTAAGTAATTTTCTTATTCAAACAGACACACAAACACAAACTTTTTTGAAAATTTATTTGCTATGATACTAAAATTTTTTCAAGTTTTCATTTTTATTTTTTTTCCACAGTCCGTGGTGGATGACTGGATTGAATCATATAAACAAGACAGGGACATCGCACTTCTGGATTTAATCAACTTTTTTATCCAGTGTTCAGGATGTCGAGGTACATAATGTTGGAATAAATGATGTACATTGAGCCTGTCAGTCCAGCAGTATGACTTTCACTTCACCTACTTCTAGTCATATATAATTCATCCTACAATTATGTGCCAATCTTTTTCTGTTGAGAAAATTATTGGTCAGTTATTTAAGGATATTCCATTTTTGTTCCGGTTCAGTTCCTATAAAGTAATATATTTCTGTTTATGAAATTTGGGGAAGAAATCTAAAATTCATTTAGTAGCTTTATGAATTGATTTTTTTAGATCATAAGCTCTTACAATTTTTACTCATATTATTGGTACATATGCTGCATGTTAGAAAGTGTGTTAGTTGTTCACATTGATTATTTTGTATCCTTGCCAGTAATTTGGTCCTTATTTTATGAATACTTGAAGCTCAATTAATTCGCTTAAGGTAACATGAGTAGCAGAATCAGATATCTTAAGTTTACAACAGTAGACATTTAAAGTGAAATTTTATTTTTATCATTTTAATAGATATTTTTCTCCTAGAATTCATAAATTCATTGAGATCACTGATCCAATTGGTTTCTTAAAGGCTTACTTATTTATGTCCCACATATCTCTTACCATATTGACATAGGTAGTTTATCAAATATTTACAGAGCACCTCCCTTGTACCAGATACTAGGCCAGGGCATACAAAGGTTATCAAGGCCGTTTCTGCCCCTAGAAAGTATTACGGTACATGTAATTTTTTAAAAGAGTGGGTTATTGTGAGGAACAAAGAGGGAAATACACAAATAGTTAAGTAAAGTGCCCAGGGTTATGATAAGAGCATAAAACTGGTTACTGTTTAACAACTGTTTAGTACCAAACTATGTGCTTTACATACATTAGCTCATTTAATCTTTGTTAACAGTCCTATCAGGCAGATGTGATTCTTTATTTTGTAGATCAGGAAACTAAGATTAAGGATTTAGGTAGTTTATTTCAAGTCACACAGTAAGTGCCAAACTCAAGATTCAGAATCAGAGTATCTTAGCTAGAATCTGTATCTCTAATCACATGACACTATGGGACTAACAGGGAAGGGATGCTGATCCAGCCCAGGTTGTGTGAATGTGGAGAGATTCTAAAAAGTACATCCTAAGAGAAAGCAAACTCCAAGATGAGATTAAAGATGAGTAAAAGGAAGTTAAAGGGAGGAGAAAGGCAAAAAGGTAACAGATTGTGCAAAAGGACTTAAGACAAGAAAGCTTTAAAGAAGGGATAGAGTTATATGGCTGAATCCTAGAGTATGGAGAAGGGTAGGGAACCTGCATCCTTGGTGCCATATGTGGCCCCTAGGTTATTTGAAAGTAAGAGAATTTGTTCATTTTACAGCCTTAAAATAGGTGAGGCATGCACTGATTATGTATTTTATATAAATTTTCTCATCTAGCCCTGTTAACGAATAATCTTGTTGGATTGGGTTTTAATTTTAAAATACCTAGTAGCTTTTAAAATTTTTTTTTTTGAAATTTATTCCCATGGTTCAGAAAACCAAAAAAATTTAAAAGTTGTATAATAACGTCTTTACAACTTCTACTTTCCCATCCATCTACACACAGTTAACTGGTCTTAACTAGTTTGTTGTATTTCCTCCTTCCTGCCTGCCTATTTAATATCCATATCTATAGTTAGGAACATATATACTCTTTTTTCATTCCCCAACTGTCTTACACAGAAGATACTGATGTGTACAGATCTTTCTCCTCCTTTTTTTTTTTTTAAATACAGCATCGTTGCATTCCTTTTTGTATATATAGAATGTATGTACAAGAATTTAACTAGTCTTCTGTTAAAAGGTCATTGCATTATTTGTAGTTTTCTATTACAGACAGTATTGTAATGAGCAATTTTGGGTATATCGTATTTGCTCTTTATGAAAGAATGTAGGGAAGTGTGTTTGTTATTATATTAAACATTGCCCAATTGCCAGCTATAGGAATTGTACTCCCTTTTACTCCCATCAGTAATATATTAAAGTATGGTACTTCTTAGCCTTTTCAACAGGGTGTATTTATCAAGCTTTTGGATGAGTTTTATGAATGATTTGAAAATAATAGTATCGGTGGGTTTTTTTTGTTGTTAAAGTACTGTGAAGTTCACATAACATAAAACTAACCATTTTAAATTGTACAATTCAGTGGCATTTAGAGCATTTATCATGTTGTGCATCTGTCTTAATTTGGGTTGCTATAACAAAGTACCATGGACTAGGTGGCTTATAAACAAAAAAAGTTCATATCTCACAATTCTGGAGGCTGGAAGTCTGAGATTAGGGTGCCAGAATCACCTGGTTCTGGTGAGGGCCTGCTTCTAGATTGTACTCTACAGACTTCTAGTTGTAGCCTCACATGGCGAAAAGAAGATAAGAGAGCTCTCTCCCACCTTCCCCCTCCCCCTCTTTTTTGAGGTTTGGTCTCTGTATATTGCCTAGGCTGGACTCGAACTCCTATACTCAAGCGATCCAAATAGCTGGGACTTCAACCACGTGCCACCACGCCTTGGCTTATGGGGTTTCTTTTATAAGGGCACTATTGTCATTTATGAGGGTTCCACCCTCAGCACTTAATTACCTCCCAAAGGCCCCACATTCTAATACCAGTGGGGTTAGGATTTCAATATACAAATTTTGGGAGGACACACATTCAGCCTATCATAACAACTAGCATCTTTCTCATGTTTTAAAAGTTTAAAAAGCACGGCAGAAGAATACTCCATTCCCATTAAGTAATCACTTCTTATTCTTTTCTTCCCCCATGCCCTGGCAACCACTAATCTGCTTTCTGTCCCTATGGATTTTCCTGTTGTGGTCATTTTATATAAAAGGAACCATACAATATGTGATTTGTGTCTGACTTCTTTCACTTACCATATGTTTTAGAAGTTCATTTAAAGTTATAGCATGTGTCAATAGTTCATTCCTTTTATAGCTGAATAATATTCCATAGTATGTATATATCACAGTTTGTTTATTCATTCATCTGTTATGGCCATTTGAGTTGTTTTCACCTTTTGGCTATTGTGAATGTTGCTACTTTGAACATTCATAAACAAGTATCTGTTCGAGTACCTGTTCTCAAGTCTTTGGGGTGCAAATCCTTAGGAGTAGAATTCCTGGGTGATATGGTAATTTTGTTTAAACTTTTTGAGGAACAATCAAACTTTTCCACAGTACCTGCAGAAGAATATGAGGGTTCCTATTTTTTCACATCTGCTACAACACTTGTTATTTTACTTTTTAAAAATTATAACCATCCTATTAGTTGTAAAGTGGTATCATTGTGGTTTTAATTAATGTTTCCCCCAGTGGGGAAACATTATGATGTTTGGAACATTTTTGTTCCAAACAAAATGATATGGAACATTTTTCATGTGCATTTTTGCCATTTCTATGTTTTTCAAAGAAATAAGTATTCAAGTCCTTTGCTTATTTTAAAATTAGATTATGTATCTTTGTTGGTGAGTTCTAAGAGTTCTTTATATCATCTGGATGCTAAACCCTATCACGGATATAACTTGCAACTATTTTCTCCCATTTTCTAGGTTGTCTTTCTACTTTTTTATGATGTCCTTTGATGTACAAAGGTTTGCTTTTTTTAGATCCAATTTATCTACTATTTCTTTTTTTGTTCATGTTTGTTTTAAATTTGAGAATCCATTGCCAAATCCAAGGTCATGAAGATTTCCCCCATGTTTCCTTTTAATTGTCTTATAGTTTTAGATTTTATGTTGAGATCATTAATCCATAATTAATTCTTGTATGTGGGGTGATGTTAGTTTGTATTTCTCTGATGAGTGAGGGTTAAGAACCATTTGTTTCTTTTTCTGTGAATTCTCTGTTCCTATCCCTTGCCCATTTTTCTTTTGACTACCTTTATAGTTCTTGAAAAGGCGTATTTTGACAAAATAGGTCTTAAAACATTTTTCTTAAAGAGGCATAGATGCATACTTTCTTAATATGATTAACAATGAAAGCACACTGTCTTTTACATCAATAAAATATAATAAAAAGTCCCAATATAGATGTAAGTACTTATGAGACATTAGTAAACATAGCTTAAAACATAGGAAAAGAAAACGCCTTCACTTATTATAAATAGAAAGTTTGCAAAATAAAACTATATTTAGTTGTCATTTTTTTTTCATCGATTAGATTGGCAAAAGTTAAAAATTATGACAACACTCAGTGAGGCTGAGGGGAAAAACAGACACTGGTACATTGTAGCTAGAAAACAAATTGGTACAACTGTTATATAAAGGGATTTGGCAATATCTACCAAAACTACGTTTGTGTTTGTCTGTTGACCTAACCATCCTACTTGTGGGATTTTTGCCTTGAAGATATACCTGCAGCAATAAGAAAATAAGTGCACATAGTTAGTCAGTCAAACATTATTTTAATTGCAAAATATTGGACACAACCCAAATGCTTATATACAGGAGAGTGATTGAATAAACACAATGGAGTTTTGTGCCACTGTAAAAAAAGAAAAAAAATGAAGAAGATCCTTGTGAACTGATGTAGGGCGATTTCCAGATTTTTTTTTTTTTTTTTTTTGGAGACAGAGTCTTGCTCAGTTGCCTGGGCTAGAGTGCTGTGGCATCAGGCTAGCTCACAGCAACCTCAAACCTGTGGGCTCAGCCCAGGATATATTTTTAAAGGCAAAATGCAACCTGCAAAAGAGTATCTAAAGTATGCAACTTTTTTTGTAGGAAAGAAGAGAAAATAATGAGATGTGCACATGTATCTGCTCATTTGACAGAAAAGAAATACAGGAAGCAATAAACCATAGAATAATGAGATTGGTCATCTACAGAATGTATGTGTGTGTGTGTGCACCCTCACACCTGTCAAGTGGAAAGTTTAGAGGGAATTGAGGTGGAAAAATAACACTTAATTTGAATATAGTTTTTGAATAGTCTTGACTTTTGGAGCAATCTTAATATTTCATATTCTCAAAATAAAGAAAGGCAACAAAAATGGAAGTAA